AAATGATCAAACTGATATTACCTAACACCCCAAAACAAACAGTATCTTTTTCAAATAACTCAGCCCAACATAACATTCTGTAGGCACATTCCGTTTTCCGTTCTTGAGTTCGGAATAGAGCAACTGCTTTGGGAGACAGTGGTCGGGCATCTGACACCATGGCCAGTCCAGTGGAGTTGATGGCGGAGGACCATTGCTTCAATGCTGGTGGTCTTTGCTTCTTCCACCATGCTGACATTTGTCCGCAACACCGCCTGAGCTTTGCGAGTGCAGCATTTTTCCGAATGAAGCACAGAGTGTTTGAGGACCCGGACATCTGTAGGGATACCAAGGTGCTTGTTTATAAAGCTATTGTCCTCCCAACCCTGCTATATGCCTGCGAGACATGGACTAAGTTCTTGTGGGTTTTTTCGGGCTATATGGCCATGTTCTAGAGGCATTTCTCCTGACGTTTCGCCTGCATCTATGGCAAGCATCCTCAGAGGTGAGGTCTGTTGGAACTGGGAAAAGGGTTTATATATCTGTGGAATGACCAGGGTGAGACAAAGGACTTTTGTCAGTTGGGCTAGGTGTGAATATTTCAACTGACCACCTTGATTAGCATACAATGGGCTGACTGTGCCTGGAGCAAACTCTTCAGCACCTAGCCCAACTGACAAAAGTCCTTTGTCTCACCCTGGTCATTCCACAGATATATAAACCCTTTTTCCCAGTTCCAACAGACCTCACCTCTGAGGATGCTTGCCATAGATGCAGGCGAAACGTCAGGAGAAATGCCTCTAGAACATGGCCATATAGCCCGAAAAAACCCACAAGAACTTAGTGATTCCAGCCATGAAAGCCTTCGACAATACATTGAGACATGGACTGTCTACAGACGTCACATGCAACTCCTGGAACGATTCCATTAGCACTGCCTCTGAAAAATCCTGGAGGACATCATTATGCTTCTGATGAAGACGTTGAGAGAACTGTGAGGAGTGTCGACTCCTTCCATGACGGCTTCAGAAAACTTGTTCATCGTTGGCAGAAATGTATCCAATTGTCTGGTGATTATGTGGAGAAGTGAATAGTGGTAGTTGCAGAGCACATTCCAAGGATCCTTTCTGCGTTTGATTTATTAAAATATTCCCATCCAAACCCAAGTAACGAAGGTGGAGGCATTACTTTTCATTCAACCCTGGTCCATCATCATGATCAATAATAATAGTGTGATGGGGAGGTTCCAAAGTTGAGTGTTTCTCTGGGCGATGGTCTGCGTGGGGTGCTTGGCTTTGGCAGCTGAAGCGTCCCTTTCCAGACGCAGAGGCGCATCCCGCATTTGTAGCGGGTGGCTCCTCCCTCCGCCTCCTGCAACCTTCCCGTCTTTTGTGCTGCGTGCGTTGTGCGTGTTTTCCCCCTCGCCACCGCTTCGTCTCCCTCCAAATACAGAGAGAAGGGGGTGGGGGGCCTTTTTAAGGAAGCCAGGGCGGGATAGCTCCGGGTTGGTCCCTCTTCTTTTCCGGGGAGCCTCCTTAACGCACCTTGGGGATGCCTGGCAGCAGCGCTTTGTCTAGGAGGAGGGGGCCAAAGCGAAGCATTGCCATCCTGCTTCAGAGGCGCAGCAATCCCGTTCAAACCCAACCTTGCGTGGCTCTGCTTTGGAAGGCTTGTGTTTCCCCCCTTTGGGGTAAGAAATGGAGTGGAAAAAGGGGAAAGCAGGGGGGAGGGTGCAGGGAAGGGGGAAATAGGGCAGGACTTTTGCACAACATGAGCCTCTTTCTGGAAGCAGCTATTTGCGCAAAGGAAGGATTCAGCTTAGTTTGTTGTAGCTTTTTCGAGCTGTATGGCCATGTTCCAGAAGCATTCTCTCCTGACGTTTCGCCTGCATCTGTGGCAGGCATCCTCAGAGTTTGTGGCCATCCTTTTTCCTAGTTCCAACAGACCTCACTACCTCTGAGGATGCTTGCCAGATTCAGGCGAAACGTCAGGAGAGAATGCCTCCAGACCATGCCATACAGCCCAGAAAACCTACAACAACCCAGTGATTCCAGCGATGAAAGCCTTCAACAATAGGATTCAGCTTATTTATGACCAAGCTCCTCTTCTTGTTTATTTCCTGCCTGTTTTCCTTCCCTCCCTCTTCCTTTTTCATTGCATCCTGGCTTGGATTTGTTGACCTTTGAAGCTTTGAAAGAGACGGGAACTCAAATAGTCACCCAAATGAAGGGTTGTCTTTCCCAGAGTTCCTCTGCTGCCTTATTATCAGGTTCTGGATTGAAACATCCATCGCAGAAGAGTTATATTCACGTTGCAATGCCACTTTAAATCCCGGGTGTGGCCAGAGTGAAATGTGCAATGGATCAGAAAGCGAACCATAATGAGTTCGATGACATCTATTTCCGAGCAGATATCTGCTCGGAAATAGATGTCATCGAGCTCATTATGGTTCACTTTCTGATCTATAGCAACCTCTTTCCTGGAAAAGTGTATTTGAGCATCGTCATGCCGTTATGAATCCTGAGCGAATCCAAATTCGGGCTGAAATGCAGAATGGGAGCCATGTTGTCTCACAGACAAATGTCAGAGATGGGTTGCTGTGGGTTTTGTGAGCTGTCTGGCTATGTTCCAGAAGCATTCTCTCCTGATGTTTCACCCACATCTATGGCAGGCATCCTCAGAGGTTGTGAGGTCTGTTGGAAACTTTAGTTACTTAGGTGATCCCTTGTTTTCTGAGTAAGATTGTCCTCCAAGTGTAGTGTCCTGATGGTGGGTACGTAGGTGACTGTGGAGCCCTGTTCTTGATTCACATGTTCTGCCACAGTGAGGGCATCGGTATCCACACATAAGGCGGTCCCGGTCGGGGTTGGCTTGACACGCCTTCATCTTGGCACATTTCTCTCTTTCGCCCTCCATTCGTGCCTCTTCAAATTCTACAGCACTGCTGGTTACAGCCGATGTCCAACTAGAGGACTCAAGGGCCAGTTCTCAGTGTCTATGCCACAGTTTTTAAGGTTGGATTTGAGCCCATCTTTTAAATCTCTTTTCCTGTCCTCCAACATTCCGTTTTTCGTCCTTGAGTTTTGAGTAGAGCAATTGCTTTGGGAGACGGTGATCAGGCATCTGGACAATATGGCTGGTCCAGCGGAGTTGATGGCGGAGGAGCATCGCTTCAGTGCTGGTGCTCTTTGCTTCTTCCAACACGCTGACATTTGTCCGCCTGTCTTCCCAAAAGATTTGCAAGTTTTTTGGAAGGCAGCGCTGAGGGAACCGTTCCAGGAGTTGCGTATGACATCTGTAAGACAGTCCACATTTCACAGCATATAGCAGGGTTGGGAGGACAATGGCTTTATAAACAAGCACCTTGATATTCCTACAGATGTCCTGGTCCTCAAACACTCTCTGCTTCATTCGGAAAAATGCTGCACTCGCAGAGCTCAGGCAGTGTTGTATTTCAGTGTCACTGTTGACTTTTGTGGAGAGGTGGCTGCCGAGGTAGCGGAAATGGTCAACATTTTCTTATGTTACACCATTAAGCTGTATTTCTGGCGTTGCAAAGGGATTGGCTGGTGACTGCTGGAAGAGCACTTTGGTTTTCTCAATGTTCAATGACTGGCTGAGCTTCTCGTATGCTTCTGCGAAGGTGTTTAGAGTGGCTTGTAGGCCTTCTTCTGAATGGGCACAGATGACGTTACCATCAGCATATTGGAAGAGTGTATGAGAGCATCATCATGTCGTTTTAATTCCTGAGTGAATCCAAATTCAGGTTGAAATGCAGAATGGGAGCCATGTTGACTCTCAGACAAATGTCACAGATGGGCTGCTGTGGGTTTTCTGAGCTGCCTGGCCATGTTCCAGAAGCATTCTCCCCTGATGTTTCTCCCACATCTATGGCAGGCATCCTCGGAAGTTGAGAGATCTGTTGGAAGCCAGGCAAATGAGGTTTATATATATGTGGAATGTCCAGGGTGGGAGAAAGAACTCTTGTTTGCTTGAGGTACGTGTGAATTTTGACATTTGCTAGCTTGAGGATTGCTGCCATAGATGTGGGTGAAACATTAGGAGAGAATGTTGGGTGTACTTGGGCTACTTCTTTGCCTGTCCTCAACCTGCATATATGTAAACAGACACAAATATTACAAAACACCAGTAAATCTCCAGTGACCTTTCCCAAAAGAAATGCAAACTTTGGATAATCTGCTTGCTACGTTTGAAATGCTAGAGGTCTACCCCTGTATTTGCAGGTTTAATTTTTGTGGATTTGATTGTTCACAAATTCAATTAATACCATTTTATGGAATCTCTAGGTCTTCCAGTGCAACTCTGTGGTCAATTTCCAACAGAAATATTTCTTGCTTCAGAAAACTTTAGGAAATTCATGGGGTCACCATAGGTTGATAGGCCACTTAAAAGCACACTTACACATACCCTGTATCTTACCTGTGTGTGTGTTCTTCCAATGTAGTTGTCTCTGTATGACTGACAGTAGACTTCTTCTAACTCAGGACCCTTCTACACAGCCATATCACCCAGAATATCAAGGCAGAAAATCCCACAACAAAATCAGAATTATAGAGTTGGAAGAGACCTCATGGGCCATCCAGTTCAACCTCCTGCCAAGAAGCAGGAAAATTGCATTCAAAGCACAAAGCAATATCTGCTTTGAGCTGAGTTATCCGAGTCCACACTTTGAGTTCTGCTTTGAACTATATTCCAGTTCAAAGCAGAAAATGTGGGATTTTATTCAGCTATGTGGAAGGGGCCTCAGGCTGCATCTACACTGTAGAATGAATGCAGTTTGACACCACTTTAACTGCAATGGTTCAGCGACGTGGAATCCTGGGAATTGTAGTTTAGTGAGGCACCAATTTTCTTTGTAGATGCGGCCTCATAGGAGTTTGCTTCCAAGTTAACCTATGTAGAACTGACTTACAAACACACCCATGCAATTACTAACAGTGTGCAAGTGATGTTGCAATTAGTGTGGTTTTGACTTTGTTGTCTTTTTGATTCCAGGTCTATACACTTACCACCCTGGGCTAAGACAGTACCGGGAACAGTGCTTGAAACCTACTGTTTGAAATCAGCAGCACAACTGAGGCTGCCATCCTCACTATGGCACCTGAGGTTCCTATCAGTGAAGGCACTTGTCCCATCTGCCTGGAGTACTTCAAAGACCCAGTGAATCTTGAAAGCTGTGGGCATCATTTCTGCAAAACGTGCCTCACCCAGTACTGGAGGGAGTCCAATACTGAGTCTAATTGCCCGCAGTGTAGCGGGGCATTTCCGCAAAGCAATTTCAAGACAAATTGGCAGCTGGCAAATCTGAACCTTGTCAAACTGGAGGAAGGAGTAAAAACGGAAGGGATCATTGTATGCAAAGAGGAAGAGATTCCCGTTGCTTTGGATTACGACAGGCCAAGAGACCTTCAGGATCATGACGACTTGCCAATGAATGAGAATTCCCAAGACTTAAAGGTAGGAACACTGCACAGTCCATGCAGTTGTTCTCCCCGTATTCTTGTGATCCACCTTCATCAAGTCAAGAATGCTCCAAAGATACTGGATTATAATTCTTCTGGAGACAAGATTGCAGACATGTGTTGTCGAAGGCTTTCATGGTCGGAATCACTGGGTTGCTCTGAGTTTTTTGCATTGTATGGCCATGTTCCAGCAGCATTCTCTCCTGACGTTTTGCCTGCATCTGTGGCTGGCATCCTCAGAGGTTCCCTGCCAACAGAACTTCTGAAAATGCCAGCTACAGATGCAGGTGAAACATCCACTAGATGGAAGGCTTCCTTAGATGGGGCAGAGGTAGCAGCAATCAGTTTTAACGTATCCATTTTTGCAGTTAGTTGCACTTAGGGTACTTCCACACAGTCATATAACCCAGAATACCAAGGCAGAAAATCCCTGGATTATCTGAGTCCACACTGCCATATATTCCAGTTCAAAGTAGATAATGTGGGATTTTATTCAGCTCTGTGAAAGGGGCACTAGACAACAGATCACCCAGCAACATATAGGGAGGGTAAGTACTGTTGGAGAAAGAATGAGGAACACAGAAATATTTGTTTATTTGCCATATTTGTAACCTGCCCTTCTCACCCAGAAGGGAACTCAGAGCGGCTCACATATATATGAAAAGGGCATTCTAGAAGGATCACCTGAATTAGTAAGGGGCTACAAGCGGAGGTTGAATAGTTTATAAGTCCTAGAAAGCTAGGTACTTCTGTTTACCTGACCGATATAATATGAAGATATAGTATTTTGATAGCGAAGTACAAAACCACTATCAACTTTGATCTTTTAAATTATTATAAAGCAAAATACAAATAGTTGTCATATTATTGCATCCATGACACATCCTGTGATAGTCTCCCATTCAGGAAGTAACCAGATCTAATCCTATGTACAGATCAGATCTGATGCCTTTAGGGCAGTGGTTCTCAATCTTTGGGTTCCCAGGTGTTTTGGCCTATAACTTCCAGTTGAAGGAGTTGAAGGCCAAAACATCTGGGGACCCACATTTGCCAAGTCTTTCTTCACTACAAATCCATGAAAGGCATGGTATTCTCATCTGATTGTTGTCGTCTTACATTTTCCCCAGATTTGTATAGAAAATTCTACTTTAGGGAGGATGGATTTGGCAGAGAACTGTGATCTGATCAAGTGTGTATACTCCTTAGAGTTATTCTCCTTTCTCAAGGATCACAGAATCATGGAGTTGGGATCCCAATGACTATGTAGTTCAATCCTCTTTCAATAGACAAACCAATCATTAAATTATCCCCAGGCAGTGGGGATTTGGGATGTGTCTGCACTGTAGACTAATGCACTTTGACACTACTTGAATTGTTGTGACTCAGTGCTATGGTATCATAGCATTTGTAGTTTGCTGAGGCAGCAAGATATGTTCAGTCTAATTGCCAAATGCATGTTTGTTTTATGATTGCATTTGACCTGGATACTTCCATCTTATCTGAACAGGTGGCTGAGAACAGTGGGACAGGACCCAATAACCGCAGGGGCCGTGGTGTTTCGTGGCGGCACAAAGAAACCTTGGATCTCCTGGACATCTGGGGGGAACAGAAAATCCAGGACCAGCTCCGCGCCAGCCACCGGAATATTGATTTCTTTGAGTACATTGCTCAGGAGATGGCTGTTCGAGGCCACCGGCGAACTGCTGTAGAGTGCCGTTCCAAGACCAAAGTCATGCGACTGGAATATAAACGTGTGATTAGTCACAATTCCAGGCCAGGGAGCAATAAGGTGACATGCCCTTTTTACAAGCAGCTGCACCGCATCCTTCGGGGAGATGCCAGTGTAGCATCCAAACGGGTTGCACGGAGACTAAGTCCCGAAGAGGCATCACAACAGGGATCTCTATCGGACCATCCAGTTCTGGAGGATCACTTCTTATCTGAGGATCTCGGCACCATTAACTCTGGAGAATATTTCAAAGAGGGAAGTACTGATAAGTTGCTGGAAAGCACAGGTAAGCATTTGCCAGTTTACCTGACTATCTTTTCTCTGTGGCATTGAATTAGAAACATAGAGCTAGAGGAGACTTCAAGAGCTATCCAATCCATCTCCCTTCTGCCATGTGGAAATACACTATCAAAGCTCTCCTGACATATGGCCATGGAATCTCTGTCTAAAACCTTCCAAAGAAGGAGATTCCTTCATACTCAGAGGCAGCATATTCTACTATCAAACAACATCATCAGGAAGTTTTTCTTAATCTTTAGGTAGAATCTCTTTTTCTGCAGTGTCCATTGCTCCATACCCCAGGCCCCTTCTACACTGCCCTATATCTCGGGATCTGAACTGAATTATATGAGGCCCCTTCTACACTGCCATATAAAATCCAGATTATCTGCTTTGAACTGGATTATATGGCAGTGTAGACTCAGATAACCCAGTTCAAAGCAGATAATGTGGATTATCTCTATGATAATCTGGGTTATATTGCAGTGTAGAAGGGGTCTGAGTCTCAATTGCCAGATAATCTGGAATAAACAGATGATTTGGGATCACATCTTGGGATATAGGGTCAGTGTAGAAGGGGACCACTCTCTTGAGCAGCAGATAACAAGCTTCCTCCCTCCTCAATGTGACACTCTCTCAAATATTTAGACATGACAGTCATGATCCCTCTTAAACTTCTCTTCTCTAAACGATCTGTTGTTTTATTGTAATATTTCACTAGAGTAGTATTAATAATGATTGGGTATTATCATTTTTGAGTGCCTAGTTTCCTGAGTTTCCTGTCTTATTTTAAATACGTTTTAGTAACTATTTCCCTTATCCTATTGAGAAACTATTTTAATATAGTTTGACATCCCTTGCCCAGAATTCTGAAATTCTAGATGCTCAAAAATCCACGAGAGGGAACACTTTTCTTTTCTGATTGTGCAGTTGACACCAATTTTGTGCCATGGACGTTATTAAAAATCTTATGTATACCTTGTTGGGTGAGTGAGCTTATTAACAAAAGACCCTCCTCATAAATGTACAGCAGAGTAATTTATTAGCAACAGTGTGAGCCAGCACCAGTAGCCAAAAGTGATAAAAAGAACAAAAACACACAGACCAATGCTATTTCTTCCATCGGAGGCTTTTCTTTCTAGCACAATAATATGGTTGCACTATTTACAAGAACAAAGTTTCCATAACACGAACAAAGTTCTTTACACTTCCTTCTTTGGTTCCACGCTGGGCTTCTTTCTCATGCAGGTAAACAGCTTTGCTCTCCAGAACCTTTTCTTACATCGAAATTACACAGGAGCTTCACACAGTAGCTTTTTACACACCACAGCCTTCACACTGGAGCTTCACACACAATGACCTTCAATCTGGGGCTTCTCTCACCAAATCTTCTCACATCAGGCCTTCACAGACTGAGACCTACCGGCACTGAGGTCTTCTCACACTGAGGGCTTTCTCAGACTGAGGGCAACTAACACAGAGGCCTACTAAGCTACAGGCACACCTGCTCATATAGAACTACAACTTTTGCTGAGTCATTGCATCCATTTAACCCTTGTAGTGCTTGACTCACATTTTTGTAACTAAAAATGCCTAGTTAATTTTTTAATATTTCTGACATACCTTTAGGCTATTGTATTCTGTGTTTACACTCAGGTCCAGTCTCCAAGATACTTCATGTTGTACATATCTGCAAACACAAGTATTCCAAAATCTGAAATCCAAAACATTTCTGGTTGTAGGTATTTTGGATAAGGGATACTCAATGTATATTAAATTTTGCTCTTTGACCAATATTAATTAATCCCAATCGTTCTTTGGTATTTTGGAATAAAATGGAACTTTAGAACTCACATACAACATTTTAGCTTACACAAAGGAAGATTGTGATTCAAGTTTTGTGGATGAAGAAGTCTGGTATGACAGTGAAAATGTGCAGTGTCCTTTTAAATAAACCTTCATGCATATGGCTGTGTGTTTGTTTTGTTCTTCAGACAATACAAGAGATGGAATGATGTCTGGTAATGGCACTGAGGAGGAAATGGTAGAAGCAGGTGATAACAACATTATACAGACTGAGGAGGAAGGCAGCAATGGAGTCAGCGGTAAGAACTGCATCACTAGCTGTTGTCCTGAACGTAGAACGGGAATCTTGTTTTGCAATGTGGATTCCCAATGAATCACAATTTAGTGTGTGCCTAACTTATTGTTGCAATAGTTTATTTTACTCTGGATCTGCACTGAAAGGTTGCCAGTACGAAGCCCGCTCAGGGTGAGCACCCGACTATCAGCCCAGCTCACTGTTTATCTCAGCAGTTCAAAAACAGCTTAGAACTGTAAGTAGACAAATTAGGTATCTCTAAAAAGTGGAGGAGGTATTTTATGACACAATAAAAGAAAAAGACCAGAAAATGCCTGCGATCTAAAGGATGGAGGAAGTCCTGATGGCTCTTCGTCATAGAGGATAGAGCGACAGCACCCCTTGTGGTTGGATTTGAGCACAACCTCTAAAGGCGCAGAAAGCTGGATGTCGACACAACTTACCTCCTTTCTGTACGTTCTGTTCTGTCTGTTCAAACGACATTGAATGTTTGCCACATATGTGTATTGTGATCCACCCTGAATCCCCTTGGGGAAATAGGGCAGATTATAAATCAATTATTATTGTTGTTGTTATTATTATTATTATCTTTGAATGCTTTTAATTTGAAATGTCAATGCATTTGTTTTCTGTAGGGGATTGGCAGCCCAATTTAGGACGTTTCTCTTATTCAAATGCAACTGTGTTGGCCCATTTTAGTTTATTCTAAATCTGTCCATTTTCCCCCCTGCTCCCATTTTTTTTCTCAGGAAAAGAGATGGAATCTCAAAGACCACAAGTAAGCCCCCAGCCCCAGCAACCACTAAACAACGTGGGTATGTATTATATGTGAATAATGTTTTCCCGCCTTGTCTGTAACATTATTGATGTTCAAGAACTTCCTATCTACCTGGAACAGGACGTGAAGGGGATAGCTTTGTGTATTTCTAGCCACTATCCCTATAGTTCAGATGCAGAATATAAAAATTAGTAAGCAACTGTTAGTGAAGTAATAAAAACTATGTACTTTGGGAATGTCACAGTTTCAAGGTTAAAGGATTCATCCATAAAATCTTTTGCAGTTACTACTAAACTTCTACTACTATACTTTATTTATATTCCACTTTATCTCCCCAAAAGGACTCAAAGCACATTACAATATACACATTTGAGGCAAACATTCAATGGCTTTTACACACAGTGAACAACAACATACAACACAGACAACATACAACACAGACAAACACAGCCTTCTCTTTTTTTTCCATCTCTGGTGTCTGGAGGCAATGCTCAACTCCAGCCATGGGGAGGTGCTCTTGTTCCATTTTTCCATGCCGTGGAGCCTGTTGTCCATGGACGTCTCTGATTGTGTTGCCGGCATATCTGCATGGCACACCCTTTTACCTTCCTACCAAGGCGATACCTATTGATCTACTCATATTGCATGCTTTTGAACTGCTAGGTTGGCAGAAACTAGGGCTGACAGTCAGGAGCTCACCCTGACTCATGGGTTCGAACTGCCTACCTTCTGGTCAGCAGATTGTCTGCAGCTATCAGTTACTTTGTATGTGTAAAAGCAGGTGAGAATTGAGTTAGGCAATTGACATGTTAACACAGACCTCAACATATTCCTTTTGTCTTTTACTTCATATGAAACAGAGGAAATCAAACTGAGAGTTGTAGATAAAGTTTGAGGCACTTTAGTTTTCTGCATCCCATGAGACACTGTTCTAAGCTAGAATCCATGTCACTCCTTAAAAGTGAAATTGGCTAAGCACAAGGCACTGTCTATGGTATTGAAGCAAGTGTTAGGAAAGTATATTCTCTGAAGTCTTCCTTTATCTTCTTGTATAGTGACCCCCCAAAAATGAATTGCAAGCTGTGTCCTCACAATTCACCAACATCATGCCTGACTATGTTCCTTGTAGTAAGAATTCATAGGGCCTTGTGGCCCTTCCACAATAGCCATATAACCCAAATATCAAGGCAGAAAATCCCACAATAGCTGGTTTGAACTGGGTTATCTAGTACGTGGTATAGTACAATATAGTAATATATAATATTAATATTGTGCTGTGGTAATAATATAATAAATTGTATTTACATATTATTTGTAAGCTGCTCTGAGTCCTCTTTGTGGTGGGAAGGGTGGCATATAAATGTTGTAAATAGTCTACACTGCCATATATTCCAGTTCAAAGCAGAAAATGTGGGATTTTATTCAGCTGTGTGGAAACTGTGTGGAAGGGGCCCTCATGAATGCCAGAGCTTAGTGGAGACAACCTCCCTCCCAATGTCTTGCACAATCCAAAGAGATTTATTTTTATTTCACAAAGAGATTGGGTGCTCAAGTTTATTAAGATTTGGGCCTTTTGAGTTGCTTTAGGTCCAGGAAGGCCCATTTCTTTACAATCGGAAGAGAAGAGGAAGATGTAGAAACAAGGGATTCTACTGGGGAGGTGGCCTGCCAGCTGCCTTTGCCCATCCCAGCTCTAAGTAATACCTTTTATTTTGCAGACCCTCCTCCTACCACCAGGCCAAAGGCAGCACTGCCTGTGGCAACCCGGCTCTCCTTGATGAGGACCAGAAAGAAGCGAGAAAGGTCTGAGAGCATGTTTCACCTGTTTCTGGAGCAAGCCAGAGAGGACTCCATCAAAGAGCAAGAGGAGATGGTCCGCGACAGAATGATGTTAGCTGGGTTTTTGAGAGCTTTTGAACAAGATGCAGCAGATAGTCGGGAGGAGCGGAAACAGTGCCTGGAGTCTCTGCGCACCAATTGTGAAGTGCTCCAGGGTATCCTTAGTGGCTTGAACAAGCTGACTGATGTCATTGCCAGCCAGCAATCCGCCAGCGCTGGTGGCCAGGCGGTTTCCCGGCACCCACTACTATCTGCCACTCATAAGGAGAATTTGCCACACCATTCTGCCTCTGTTGTACGAAGCAGTTTGCCATCAGAAGCATTGCCCTCCCACCCAACCAGTTCTACCAACACCGCACCAAAAAGTGGCCCTCGCAGGCCTACAACTGTGACTCACGTTCCAACTCAGGTGACATGTAATCTCGGATAACAGATGGGAGGGGAAACACCTGCTTTGGACTCTTTCATTAAAAGGTATTGGAGTGTAGGCTAGGATAAGGGAAAGAGGAAAGACCCTAAGATCAGTATGTTGTATAAACCCGGGAGGATAAGAGCTCCATGTCTGACCTTTCACTGGTTTTATATGGTTTTATATTATATGTTAATTGTTTTTAATGATAATTTATGTTGTTGGGGGCATTGAATTGTGCCGACGGTAAACCGCCTTGAGTCACCTTCGGGCTGAAAAAGGCGGTATATAAGTACGGTAAATAAATAGCCAAGGGGAGGGCTGTTTCTGAGACTCCAAGCAGGGAGGGGAGAGCAGGCATGCCTGCCGTATGGCGGCATGGCGGGCATGTGCGGGTGAGGGAGAGAGTGAGAGGCCAGAGGGAGATTCTCACCAGCAAGTCCCTTCAATGCATGAGGGTTCTGTGTGGAAAGTTTGTCCCCATTCTGTCATTTTTGAGGTTCAGAATGCTCTTTGATTGTAGGTGAACTATAAATCCCAGAAACTACAACTCCCAAATGTCAAGGTCTATTTTCCCCAAATTCCACCAGTATCCGCATTTGTGCATATTGAGTATTCATGCCAAGTTTGGTCCAGATTTATCATTATTTGAGTCCAAAGTGCTCTTTGGATGTAGGTGAACCACAACTTCAAAACTCAAGGTCAGTGCCCATCAAACCCTTCCAGTATTTTCTGTTGGTTGTGGGAATTCTTTGTGCCAAGTTTGGTTCAATTCCATTGTTGGTGGAGTTCAGAAAATTTTGATTGTAGGTGAACTATAAATCCCAGCAACTGCAACTCCCAAATGACAACATCAATCCCCTTCCCAACCCCACGAATATTCAGATTTGGGCGTCTTGGTTATTTGTGTCAGATTTGGTCCAGTGAATGAAAATACATCCTGCATATCAGATATTTACATTACGATTCATATCAGTAGCAAAATTACAGTTATGAAGTAACAACAAAAATAATTTTATGGTTAGGGGTCACCACAACATGAGGAGCTGTATTAAGGGGTTGTGGCATTAGGAAGGTTGAGAAACACTGCTCTACAGTATGCTTTTCCTGGATGTTACCCTAGAGTTGTGTTGGTGAGCCTAGCAAAATGCTAGAAAAGTCCTCTAACACAGCTCAGGTATACTGAGATCAGAAATCAGGTAATTTAATGACATTTATTTGAATTGTTTTCTGTCATATGTATTGCTTGTAGGTGAAAAACTGTAAAGATTAGGATCTGAAAGTCTTGCTTCAATATAATTGAGAATATGGATGTTATCTAACTGTCAATAAACTGGAAACTAGCTTTCTCCAACTTGGGAACCTCCAGATAGGCTGGACTCCAGCTCTTACTCCCATACAGTGCAACCCTTCAACTTGGGGGATGTGATGGGAGCGCAATACAGCAGAATTAAGAGTACCAGGTTGGAGGCCAGGTCTTTTTTGTCTCATTTACAATGAGAGAAGATGTCGTCACAAAGTCCTCCTTCTAGTTCAACAGCTCAACCTCACGCCCCAATACACCCAGAAAAAGGGACAGATTCTCTCCCCAGAGAAGATGGCTGAAGAAAAAGTGAAAACCGAGTCATTTGTGTCAGTGTCAAAAAATTCCACATGGCCTTTTTCGTAGTCCAGGGACACCTGTATCTTCCGGAGCTCGCATCTCATGTCTACAAGGCTTCTCCCTAGAGAAGTGAATGCTGTGAGTTGATACGGAGAGAGCTGGGCCCTCAGAGAGTCCAGTGGTGCCTTCCCCAGAGCCCAAATCCCCCCGCTAGGATTCAGGTTGACTTTTCCTTTCCTTATGACAGACTCCTTGGCAACTCCCACTGCCCACATCACCCATTTGGGTGCCATCTTCTTTTCTGTGTCCCCGTGGCTGCCTTCCTCAGGATTGGAGCCAGTCATCCCCTTGGCTCTCACTGACTCTTGGGTGGTTTCCACAGATGATGGCTGGACTTGCATCTCTTCCACTTCCACCATCCACCGATGCCTTCCAGAAGAGAACCTCTGGTGCCCAAGCACAAAGGGCTCCCAGTCAAACCTCTCAGGTTTATCCAACAAGTCTTGTTTTCTGCTTCCCCATCTCACCTGCTTGAGATCATCGGACAGCATGAGGTTGGGATGCGCTGTGTCTGGATCTAGAGTTATGTCCACTGTAGGGTCGAGGGAGAAAGAGGGAACAGGCTCAATGGTGGATAGGTCAATAGAAGGCTCCACTTTTTGGTTTTGCTCCACAAGGTTCACATGAATCTGGTCAGGAAGCACACCAAAGAGTTAGGGATGTCAGGAAATGGTTGTCCCATCTAAACAACGGATTGCAGGCAGGCTTATATGGAAAGAGGTGTTCCTTCCGAGGTCTGTGAGGCATTGGCATCCATCTCTGTGAATATTCTTTTTCTAAGTAGGAATGGAATTTCAGAGAATGACTGTTAATGTTGACAGTTGGTTGTGAAAGAGCTCGTAAAAGAAGTCTGGATGTAGGATTGATTTTGGCTGGAACCACACTGCCATGTAATGCAGTTTAACCTGCATTATATGGTTCTACAATGATCATATAATGCTGTTCAGATGGCATTACATGGCACTGTAGATCCAGCCATGGAAAACCAGAATACATTTTGGAACTTGTCTACATTGATGAAAAAAAAAACCCAAACACTGTTTCATGTTGCATTTTTCCAGCCTGTAATACTCTAGGTGAATTTACCCTGTAGAATAGATACAGGCCCCATCTACAATGTCATGTAATCCAGATGATCAAAGCAGATAATCCACATTATCTGATTTGAGCTGGATTATATGAGTCTCCACTGAAAGTAGATAATCTGGATTTTATCTGACAGGGTAGATGGGGCCACAGTTTAACGCTGCTTTAACTTCTGTGGCTCAATGCTATGGAATCAGGAGAGCTGTAGTTTGGTGAAGTGCCAGCACTCTTTAGCAAAGAAGGTCAAAGAAGCATTAAGCCATGGGAGTGAAAGCGGTGTCAAACTACATTAATTCTATGACGTAGATACATACCCCGCCTCCCCCGTTATTGCCATAACAGGTGAAACATTTCCCACAGCTGAACTCCTCTTGCTGTTAGACTTTCCACATTTCAAATCCTTCTAGTTATTTCTGGCCACACTTGAGAAGATAATAAATTCATCACGACACTCTAGAAATCAATGGAGTTGAAGATTTGGGAATCACCTGCTAGACATTTTTGAAGTGGGGGAATACATGTCCCAAAAGGTTGCCCCACCTGGTGGGTGCTAGTATGTATGTACTAGGCTTGGGCAGTTTCGTTTGTTAATTTCGTAATTCGTTATTAATTCGTATTTAAATTAGTTTACGATTCAATATTGAGCCATGCAGGAATAGTGTGAGGAGTAATTAAGAATCGAAACAATTTTTCCAATTTATTTCGTAATTATTTGTAATTATTTCATAATTATTTTCGCATGTCTGGTGCAAGTTTTATAGTTGTTGTTTGTTTTATCACACCAACAGTCAACAACAGAGGGAGAGGGAAGCTTCAGAAGTTCCCCCTGTCCCATTTGGAGGTTTTTTTTAGCATATTGCACAATCGCGTCCGCCATTAACGAATCGATTCGTAATTTTACGAAATTTCGTATATTTCGAAATTTTTAAAAGGAAAATTTCGGAATTCTTAAAAACGAAACACAAGGGCCCCCTAAAAACAAAACGAGTTTAGAACCAAATTTTTCCGTGGTTACCCAAGCCTAGTATGTACCTTCAAAAGTTTGCAGCAATTGGATTAAACTGATGGAAATCAATGGAGTTGAAGACTCCATTGATGTCACCTACTAGACATTTTTTGAAGTGGGGGAATACATGTCCAAAAAGGTTGTCCAACCTGGTGGATGATGGTATGTATCTTCCAAAAGCTATATAACAGCTTTGTTTGCAGCAATTGGATTAAACTGATGACAAAGGAAGAAAGATGCAGAGAAACTGGGGCATTTTCAAAGTAGCTAAAAACTGGGACAGCAGAAGCTTAATTAGAATCATAGCTGAAAGAGAACCCAGGGCCCATCCAGTCCAACCACATTCTGCCATGCAGGAAAACACAATCAAAGCACTTCTGACAGATAGCCATCCAGCCTTGGCTAAAAAACCTCCAGAGAAGGAGACTCCAATAAACTCAATAGCTCAAGGCTATGGAATCATAGGAGTTGCAATTTTGTGAGGCATCAGTACTCTCAGGCTGATAAGGTTAAAGACTTGCAAAGCTACAACTCCCAGGATCCCATAACATTGCACCATGGGTGTTAAAAGTGATGTCAAATTGCATTGATTCTGCAGAGTAGATGAGTTCTGAGTTTAGTTATTTTGGTTTCTGGTGGGAGTTCTGGCCTGGTTTGCTTCAATGTCCATTTATTTATATGATACTTGAGAACAAACTCATTTTCTACTCTCTTGGTCTTTTCTTTCAAAAGTTTTGAGCTAGATCTGCACCATATTATTATTATTATTATTTGAAACACAACAAGATGAGTCCACAGCAGACACTCTGCTGGCTGTTGAATTGGATCACATGTCGGATACTTCCCAAGTGTCTAGGACTGTGCGATGTATCGGTGAATAATCATGCAGATCCCAGTAAAGTGGCATTATTATTATTATTATTATTATTATTATTATTATTATTTGTTGTTGTTGTTGTTCATTCGTTCAGTCGTCCTCCGACTCTTCGTGACCTCATGGACCAGCCCACGCCAGAGCTCCCTGTTGGCAGTCACCATCCCCAGCTCCTTCAAGGTCAGTCCAGTCACTTCAATGATGCCATCCATCCATCTTGCCCTTGGTCGGCCCCTCTTCCTTTTGCCTTCCACTTTCCCCAGCATAATTGTTTTCTCTAGACTTTGCTGTCTCCTCATGATGTGGCCAAAGTACTTCAACTTTGTCTCTAGTATCCTTTCCTCCAGTGAGCAGTTGGGCTTTATTTCCTGGAGGATGGACTGGTTGGATCTTCTCACAGTCCAAGGCACTCTCAGAACTTTCCTCCAACACCACAGCTCAAAAGCATTGATCTTCCTTCGCTCAGCCTTCCCTAAGGTCCAGCTCTCACATCCGTAGGTTACTACAGGGAATACCATGGCTTTGACTAGGCGGATCTTTGTTGCCAGTGTGATGTCTCTACTCTTTACTATTTTATCGAGACATTGCTCTCCTCCCAAGAAGTAAGCGTCTTCTGATTTCCTGTCACGGCCTCCAAATTTTCTCCCTCTATTTCCCAGTTGTCAATCATTCTTGTTGCCATAATCTTGGTGTTTTTGATGTTTAGATGCAACCTGGCTTTTGCGCTTTCTTCTTTCACCTTGATTAGAAGGCTCCTCAGCTCCTCCTCGCTTTCGGCCATCAGAGTGGTGTCATCTGCATATCTGAGGTTGTTAATGTTTCTTCCAGCAATTTTCACCCCAGCTTTGCATTCCTCAAGCCCCGCACATCGCATGATGTGTTCTGCATACAAGTTAAAAAGGTTGGGTGAGAGGATGCAGCCTTGCCGTACGCCTTTCCCAATCTTGAACCACTCTGTTGTTCCGTGGTCAGTTCTGACTGTTGCGACTTGGTCCTTGTACAGATTCCTCAGGAGAGAGACAAGGTGGCTTGGTATGCCCATCCCACCAAAAACTGTTTTTGAAAAGTTGATTTGATAAGATGTATGTGCCCCATGACACAGCAAAAAGAATGTATATAAGGGAACTGGAAAATTCTAACAGGACGGTCAGCCTGGTCTTCGGCTGTCCCGTCCCTTCGTTGCCTGCCTCGGGGTGTCGAAATAAAGGGGTCCCCTTCAATGTTATCCTTGAAGTGACTGGCTTGACTCTGAAGGAGCTGGGGGTGGTGACTGCTGACAGAGAGCTCTGGCATGGGCTGGTCCATGAGGTCACAAAGAGTTGGAAGAGACTGAACGAATAAACAGGACTGTGTGATGGATTGGTGAATAATGAGTGCAGATCCCAGTAGGGCGGCCTTTTGCAGCTGACAGATGGTAATTTTGTCAGCGCCGATTGTTTTGAAGTGCAGGCCAAGGTCTTTAGGCACTGCATCCGGTGTGGTGATCACCGCTGGGACCACCTTTACTGGCTTGTACCAGAGTCTTTGCAGATCTATCTATCTCTCTCTCTCTCTCTCTCTCTCTCTCTCTCTCTCTCTCTCTCTCTCTCTCTCTATCTCTATCTCTATCTCTATCTCTATCTCTATCTCTATCTATCTATCTATCTATCTATCTATCTATCTATCTATCTATCATCACCATGGACTACAAAAGGCAGTATCCCAATAGCAACAACTGATGGGGGA